ATTTCCAAAAAGAAAAATCACCCAAATTATGAGCATTTATAAGGATGTATTGAAAATATATGTAATGTTGTCACCAATAGGAGACCATTAATGTGTGAAGTGATTTTGGTCAAACTTTTCTTTATGGCAGGGAAGTGATTGAATCTTTTTTTAGGATTATGTCTTTAAAGCGTTGCACTTTGGAGACGGTCCAGCAGCTCCAGCTGCAGATAGAAAGTTGTCCAGCCGGAGAACAGTGCATATTGGATTGTTTTAATAAAAAATTAGGTTGTAGATTGTTGTCTGTTTTAATAAAAAACACCAACATATCCCTCCTACAACCACATCCATCTGACACACATGACACAGCATTGTCTGGTTACATGATCATCTTATTTTATTAAACCAAATCGTTGGGAAACTCCGTTGTGGCCTATTAAACGAAATGTTAGGTGTGTATGTTTGACCCAGTATGACCCATATTCGTTGTGGCCAAACGGCGGTACTACACTTCCGTATCAGTCACTGGGCCCGGAAATACTTTTTCCCATTGACTAACATTGGGAAAGAGACGTCTGTAAATCGTTGGATAATTTTTTTTAAACGAAATAAACTACCCAGTATGAACATTTGCATAGCCCTTATTAAAAACATTCGGTCCTCAAGTTGTAAAATGTGCTAATAAAGTTGTTCTGAGAGTTATTTTCCTCTGCATTATGAACGCGGATCTAACCCACGGGACCGCGCTGCCCGGCACGCTCATAGGAATGAACGAGGCCCCGCCTCCCACGCTGTATCCAGTTCTTATTATACATCCATGCAGGGCCGGCCCTCATGCCGGCCCTAGGCACTGGCGAACTAGCCGGTCGCCTAGGGCAGTGTTTCTCAAACTTTGTCATACCAAGGACCACTTAACCAATAAAAAAACACTCGCGGACCACCTAACTCCACAAATATCCAAAAACACATCGTTTTTCTAGAACAGATTACAAATCGTCTGAAAATGGTACAGACAAGTGGCAACATGTTTGAGGAAGGTGTTGCGCTGGGCTATATCATGCAATCGAAAGTGAAACTTAAGCTCCATTGCGGAGATATTCCTGCGAGAGTGCGGAAAACTTAAATAAATAAATGTATTTCCATTCCAATATGAAATGTTACCAATATACTCACGGACCACAAGGGGGCGCTCACGGACCACACTTTGAGAAGCACTGGCCTAGGGCGCCAGATCTGGAGGGGCGCTGCGCTGGGAGAAAAATAAATAAAAATTCTGCCCTTGATGTAATACATTTACATTAATAATTGAATAAAGTAAACACCCTTTGCACCCCGGGCCGGCAACATTTTGCCTTTACCCGGTACGATGTGCGCTGTAAGTGATGAAAGTGGGGGATGTTGACTTATCAGGCGCCCGCAGGTCACAGCCAAAGTGAGAGAGAGCCTCCGAGCGAGCAAGAGAGAGAGAGAGAGGGCGCGCATGCATCGGTACCGCGGATTGTTGTTGGATTGAGGCTGATAACTACAGCTCAGTGAGGTAAATGACTCTTGAGTGTTTAGATAGTTCACTTTAGTCTAAGTTATCTCAGTGGGTCTCAAACGGTTTGGTCACAATTTATGTAAACACATATTTCCAAGGCACTCCTTTATAATTATTGGGATAAACAGGTTTGAAATCATTCCAATGTATACTATAGGACAGTAAACCAAAAATATCCTTTAAAACTGGAGAGATAAAAAAATATGCATAAATAAATAAATGTTAACTAGGTAAAATAAGATATGAATGAACAACAAAAATAAAATAAGTTACATTTATTTGTTATTGGCTATGGTAGGTTATTGGTTATGTTCACATGCTTATTTGATTATTCAAATGTAAACCGGTGCCAGCTAAAATCTCGCCTAGGGCTGCAAATTGTCTAGAGCCGGCCCTGGGGGGGGGGGCACCAAATCATAATCTCGCCTAGGGCACCAAAATGTCTAGGGCCGGCCCTGCATCCATGATATGACCGGGTGAAGGGATGTGAGTGTTGTTCCCCTCCCTACCAGCAGGTGGCGCCCTCATTAACTGCTTTTCCCCCACAGAGGCGCGCGGGGCGGGGCTCCGGCTGTAGTACGTGTGCTTCACTCACAGCAGCTAGCTTCAGTAAGCCGACGCTAAAGCTGAAGTCAGAGTCATGGTGCTGCTGGAGAATGATTCGGTAAGAACACATCATTTTGTGATAATTTCATCCCTCGACGTTTTTGATGATAAACTAGAAATACACCCTCTTTGCTCTAGCTGTCTTACAGATGCAAAACGTTAGGCTAGTCATCAAACTGACTCGTTAGCCAACATGCTAACCATTGGTTGAAGCTAACACTGGTTATACGTTAACATGGCAAATGTGTTTATCAGCGAATGTACTTTCAAACATATGTATTAATAGTCATAAACTGGCTTTTGTTACAGTTTTGTATAACTGGTTATCATTTCATACAAAGACACCCATATCGTCTAACAGGGTGCTGCTGTAAGTTAGCACTCAGTAGTAACGAATCCTCTCTAGACAGTATCGGCAAACAACAATCATTTTCCTAATTGCTAAACTTGTTAAGCTAACCACAATGTATACTTTTAACAACCAGGTACTTTTTGGCGACCAATGCTCAACTGCCAGATTATTAGGCTGTGTTAACGTACATTTAGCAAGCTAAAACTAATGCAGTTTAATCAAATGGGCCGAATGAAAGTAGGCAAACTTTAGTAAAACCCTTCAGTGTGATGCAATATCATTTAAGACCAGCACAAACGTTTTTTAACTTTCAAAAACTTCTTGCAGAAACGGTGTTAACATAATGAGTAAAGTAGTTAAATGTTTCAACTAACCTGAAAACGAAAGGTATAATAAAGCAATGCACCTTAACTTACATGGAGTCTGCTAAACTGACAGTGTACCATCAGCTCATATCGGTGGAAAGCATTGTTGATGTGTCCAGTCCTCTTGCTGTGATGAACTCTTCTTATCTGAAATTAATGTTAATCATATTTGTTTTTGCCTCACTGTCCAGTTTCTCACGGAGCTTACACGACTGTTCCAGAAGTGCAGATCATCTGGCAGTGTTGTCATCACGCTAAAGAAATGTAAGCAGATCCCTCCTGATCTTTACATTTGATCAGGAAGTCAAACTGTGAATTTCCCATTTCAACATCCAAGCATTTAAAATTGATTATTTGTTTACAGATGATGGGAGGACCAAGCCAACGCCCAGAAAAGGCAACCCTGAGACATTTGAACCATCAGACAACAAATGTCTCATCAGAGCATCAGAGGGCAAGAAGAAAATTAGCACAGTGGTGAGTGACCGGTGTTTCCTGTGCTTGATCTGTTCGTGTATTACTGTTAATGATTTCTACAGGCTGTTAATGCTCGGTTCTTATTTCTTGCTATTTCAGGTCAACACCAAAGAAGTAATCAAGTTTCAAATGGTATGTTGAGTTTATCATTTAGTCATTTCTGTGTTGTTTTGAAGCTGTTGCCCTTTTTGTTTAGTCTTTGTTGGTTAGATCTTCTTGATGTTGTTACAATTATCTTCTGTTTCATAGTGGTCTATCTTTGATAAATTAGCCGTGAGAGCTTAATCATTTGCTAAGCGGCAATCCTTAAGGTTTCTCTCTTGGTTGATTTGACAACACATTATTTTCTGGTGGTAACGGGAGCTTCGTTTTAATATTATGGGTCCCAATAATACTGGTGGAAGCAGTACATACATACTTAAAATGTTTGTAGGCCTTTTTCCGCCAGTCTGTGAGAAACTGGGATCTGACGTTATGCAGATTAACATTTGAAGTAGTTTCATCCCTCGCTGAGAAGGGCTGCAGAATATTACAACACTCATCAGTTGATGGAGACTTCACAGACATGAATTTAAAAGGAAATAATCAGATGTTTTTTATTCTTTACAGGCGTACTCCAACCTCCTAAGAGCTCACATGGATGGACTTAAGAAGAAAGATAAGAAAAGCAAAAGCAAGAAGACTAAAGCCACCTAACGAGCAACAGACTCTTAAACATAACCATAAACTGGCCTGTTGGATCTGAGGGGACGGGATCCCCCCCCCCCCCCCCCCCCCCCCCCCCCTCCATTCACCGAGGCCTCAGAATCACTGTTCATCCACCAAGTGACCGCTCTGATACCATGCCATTGTTTGCATGTCTCATCCCGGCTGCTGAGGACAGAAACCCTGAGGATTCCTCTAACTCATGCAGGACGTCAACCTTTTTCAATCTCCACCATTACTGCTCCAGAACCAGGTCATCATCAACATCTGCGTCACATCTGGAGCCACATCCATGGAGCCCACCACTTTCCTGCCTTCCATACTAATTGAATTGTTAGAGTCCATATTTATGTCATATTTTCAGCTGACCTGTGCGCTCTGCTGCCATGTTTCAATTTGATTGCATCTTAAGAAGAATCTTTTTTCTAAATAATGAAATGAGCAATGAATTTACTGCAAAATTACTTTGAAACACAGAAGTCAATCAGATGAGATATATTTCATAGTTTAATATTGGACTTGGAAAAGTACTTGTTTTTTTATTTCACATGAAGTACAAAGGCAGTTTTTTTGTTTCAGGCCACAATTTCATACCAAGCTGTCAAACTGGCCGTCTTAAATGGTTAAACACCAATAAAATGTGTAGCTTAAGTTAATGTAGGGATTTGAAAAGTGAATCGGATTTCTGAATGATGATGGAAAAAATGCTTAAAAGTTATATTTGACTGAAAGGCATGTTTTGAGTTATGAATACAGAGACAAAGTATTGGCTGGTTATTTTAATAATGTCATTTCAGTTAATTACAAGGCAGGTTTAAACTATGGCCGGTATATTTTCAGTCATTTGAATTGTCTCTGTGCTCCAGGTCCTCATTAAAGAGGACAGCAGCAGAATCTAAGTTCAGAAATAAAGTGCGTTATTGAAAGCCACTGCAAGTTCTTTTTTGTGTCCATAGTGAGAAGATAGCAAACAATGATCACGGTTAACATTAAGCGCTGTAGAAAAGACACAGTAAATACATTATATACATGAACACTGCTGGTTTAAAGAGTCCCAGTCTCATATCGCTGTGTTCCTCTTGTCCGGTCTCTCCTTCGGGGAGGCTGCAAGCTCACGCTGCCGGTCACTCTCCTCCTCGTACCCCCGCTTCATGAGGCCCGTCACAAACTGGAACAGGGTCTGGAGAACACATTGAACTGGGTCAGGGTCCCCTTAGGTACATGGGGGACATTCACATTCAACAGTTTTGAATGCAGATAACTACTGTTCATCACAATGCTGTATATGTATTTATTTTCAGCCATTTTCAGCTATCAAAACCCATTTTCTCTGTTGAAACAGTGCTGTAAGATACTGCTGGAGTGGAGGATGAGTAATAGAGGTTTGCTCGAAGATATATGTAGCTCAGTTATGTAATCATTCTTTATTTATCATAAGATGTTGGCTGTTAACATGCAAAATGTCTAAGTTAGGCTTTTTCTTAAACAAAGCGTGGAAGAGGAGGGGGAAAACTACTGGGATAAACTCAAAGCATGAGGAAGTTCTACGTGTGCAACTTTTTAGATATTGTCACTACAATATGTTATTTTAAAGTATATGGAACCAAACATAATGCTGTAATTGGTGATTTACATATAAAATATATTTGTTCAATATTTGCTAAATATTGGTATTTTGTCCTAAGTGGGAAGAGCAAAATATGAAATGTAATTACCATAACCAACTTCAACCACTAGAGGGCACTAGAAGCCATCAATTAAAAGCAGAACGATTTACAGAATTTACTTAAATTAAATGTAATTTTGAAATATAACTTTAAGCTTCAAACAGACTGTTTTTAATAAAATGTCACCAAATTGCACATTAAAAATTGTTTTTATGGATATGTGTTATATAAGGAAAAATGTCTTCAACATCTTTAATGTATCCACGCCTATGCGTGCAGAACGCTCTGCAGTAAAGAGAGATGCATCTAGCACAGCAACATTTCTGTATTAATTACACTAGGGCTCTTGAAGTGACATAACATGATGTGACAGGGCCATGTCCCATTTTCTCAATATGCTCATGTATGGTTCAGTGACATGTAAGTCCTCATCAGTCAGGCTGGTGTTGCACTGGGTTCCATCTTGACATGTTACATGGAGTATTAAAGACAAGCCTGAAGCTGACATGCTGATTGCACACATCCAGCCTATTTCACCAGGTGTTTACCCAGAAGGGGTCTCTGATTCAAACTACACAGAGAGACACACTCCTCACCTTCCAGGCCTCCTCCAGCTCAGACGTCCACTTCTCCTTCAGGATGGGCCGCACGGCGCAGATGAATTCAGCTCCGACGTACTGGAAAATAATTATGACAGATACTTACTGATGTGCTTAGGGCTTAGTAACAATATCCAGTAAGTGTGTCACTCCAAGAGTACAGGTGTTCCCATTAAGCAGTTGTGATTAACATCTACAGTATCAGTGGAATTCAAAATATCTGAAGTCCTCTTAAAAAAGCAGCAAAACTGTTAAGTAATCACTGTTTGGGATCTCTTACACTGTAGTACTTGGGAGGGGCGTTGTAGTGATAATGGCTTTTCCCCAGCTCCAGAGCCAGAGCTTCCAGTCTCTCCAGCTGGTCCAGTCTCGCCACACTTTTCTCGATAAAAGACATCACCCTGAAAGAGATGGAGAAAAGAAAAGAGCCTGCTTGATCCACCAGAAACTGGGGAATTAGAGACTATCACCGGGTACTTCTCCACCGGCAGTGGCTAAGTCAGTAGGGGCCTGGACTGTGAGCCGTAGGGTCGCCGGTTCAAGTCCCCGACCAGACCTAAAATATGGAGTGTGGACTGCTACTTGGAGAGGTCCCAGTTCACCTCCTGCCCTGCAGTGGTGCCCTTGAGCAAGGCACCGGACAACCCCCCCCACTCCCATTGCTCCCCGGGCGCTGTACAATAGCTGCCCACTGCTCCTAGTACTAGACTCCTGGTACTAGACTCCTGGTACACATTTCACTGTGTGTGCTGTGTGTGCTGTGTGCTCTGCATGTGTGACCATTAAAGAGCACTGAGGATAAGTGTCACACTCTTCTGCCTTAAAAAGCTGCATGGTGACATTTACTGTTTCACAAAATCAAAATACCAAAAAGAATAACACAATTGAATTTGTATCTTAATGATGCAGCATTGCACGATCTTTTTTCCCCCAGAAGAAGACAATAATTCTCCCCCTGCACAAAACCCTACAAGATGGATTCTCTTTGTTGCTCTTGCAGGTGTGTGTGCCATCACTGCAGCCTGTGTGTGTGACAGTTTTGGTGATGAATGGAACAAAGGGTTAGAGTAGGTTCCGATCTCTCTTCCCTCTGTATTTGTATTGTCGTCTGTATTCCTCTCTAATTTGTTCTAATGTCCCCGTGTGCCGTTGAAGGGCCATTTGGCCTTATCCCTGAATTTGAGAGCAGCCGGTTCACACTGGGATGCGTAACACATTGTGCTATACTGCCACGCTCACCTCTGTACCTTCAGGTCCTCAGGTGGTAATTGGCTGCTTTGACCTCGTGCATAAAGAAAGGCAGAGAGCCCTGATGCACCCTGGGAACAGCAGAGTGGCTACAAGCTGTGTCTGAGCAGAGGAAAGCTGTGATATAATGATATACGACTACCTGAGGCGTGCTGCTTTATATTACTGCACTGTGCCGTGTGCAACATGGTATTATTATCATGTATTGTTAAAAGGAACAGTATTGTGATATTCTAAGTTTTTCCCATAAAAGACCAAAACATTTACTGTGTGTTCCATGCAGTAGAGCCTGCAGTCAAAGCCTGCCTTTCCTTGGTGTGATGTAGCCGCATTGTTGTCCAATCACTATCAGAAACATCCATGAGCCACACTGCTGGGGTACATGTTCTTCCAATAACGCTGAATATGGCCGCTGCAGTTTTACATTTGGGTCAGTGGCACATACACTGCTCTATGTGTCTGGGAGAAAAGTATCCATGTACTTGTGTTTAGGAGGAAAATACAATTAGTATACTATAATTTATGATGACATGCTTGACCTTTTACCTTGACATTTTTATGACGGGTTGATTCTAACATTTCTTTTCTTTTTCTAATGACATACTGTAATACAATGTTATTATGGCATTCAGCATTCATAGTATAGAATACTGTAATGTTTAACATGACACCTTATTTTACATTTTTATGGAAAAATCTATACAATTATTTGTCTTTGAAATGTGTTACTCCTGTAGATCTTTATTATTACTATAGTATGGCATGCTATGCTAAAGGACGATGAATATGATCATTTACAGACTTAAATGGAATAATTTGTGATTAATTCATTAATCAAGATATCTTAATTGAAAATCACCAGAAAACACTTACTCAAAATCTGTTGTGAAATATTTGTCAGGGAATATCCTTTAAAGATTGCAGTTTAGTCTTTACATTACAACCAGAAAACATGCTTTATCCTGATTATTATTGTTATTCAGATATGAAAAGCCCTAGCAGATGTGGGTCGTATCACCCTGACTCTGTGCTGTCCTCTGATTGGCTGGAGTGTTCTGTGATTCAGAGCTGGTCACTGACCTCAGGCCGTGCGCCCTCAGCTCCCGGCTGGTCCGCAGCCTCTCCAGGTCCTCCACGTCTCGGAACAGGAAGAAGACGTCCTTGCATTCGGGATGAGTCTCAAACAACCTGTTGCCAAGACAACCACAGTGCAAGCCTGTCATAATCATTCCCAAAATGAAAACACTACACCACCGTTGTGTTTCCCAGCTAATATGACATAACCCCAAGAGTCTAACAACTGTGAAGTCCAGCTCATCAACGACTGGAGGCGCCCCCCCTGCTGCAGCCGTTCTGTCACTGTGGATTCATGTCTGACTGTCTTTCTGTTCTCACTCTGTCCTACAGTCACACCCAGCAACTGCAATCAGTGACAGGCCATGGTGGGTCTTTAAACCAGGTAATGGATACCCTCATTTCCACATGAAGCTCAGTGATGAGCCCCCCCGCCCCTTCAGAGCCGGGGCGGGGTTCCGGTTAAATGAAGACACTGATCCTGATAGAGTTCTGCTCTTCTGATTATCCCTCAATCCTTTTCTTTAACCAGACAGTTTAATCACGCTGCCTCCAATCAGAGCGACTCCCAGTCTCCAGCTGAGCGACCTGCCATCACTCACGCTGCCAGGATCGTGCTTGCAGTGAGAACCAAGGGTTATATGTAAGTTCTCTTTGACAATGACAGTATGACAATGGTGCAAAGAATACAGAATAGAAAACCTTCTTTCTATTGGAATATAGTACACATCCTTTTTTTTAATGAATATTCTTTTATAGAAATGTGCCTGTATTTAATAAAAAAATCTTGTTTTTTTTTATAGCCATTATGTCAAGTTACCAAGTCACACCAAATCAATACAACATTGTAAACTATAGAAAAGTAGGAAACACCTCCTTTTATAGAATGTTGTGTTTGTCTACTTTCTTTGTCTATACAATGCTTCATTGGAGTGAACTCATTAGGTCACATGACTTAGAAGCTATTCAAAATAAATGAGACTTTTCAATAAAGAAACTGCTGATTTTCGTGCCAATATTCATATAAAATACATACAACGAGTGTACTACTGGTCCAGAGTAGCAGAGTCATAAGGTCATATAATATAAAAAGCTATTGATTAATTTCAAGGGTTTTCAATTGAATAAATGTTGACTTTTTTTCATCAAGATATTCGTATGAGTATAAGAATACCTGACATCTACCACAGTTATACAATGCTGTATTGATTTGGAGTCACTGAGTCATAGGACATGGAAGCTATGGAAAACTGAAAAGAAGTACAAATCCATTCATGACACATCAGTAATCAATATGCCATGTGAGATACATGTATTATATTGTTTAAGCATGGTTTTCATTAATATGCAGCATCTACATCTACATTAGCATGAAGGTATTGAACATATTTTTTTTTATTGATCAAACAGTGGAATGGATGGAAAAAAAGAAGACTTAATTTAATATCCTAAAACTCAGACAAAAGCTTATTCTGTTGACCCATGGCCATCAAGCACTACTAAAAAGGAAAAATAACATGTTTCTAAACCTGGCATACAGAACAAAGTCCTCATGAATAAATACATTAGATGTCTAAATCATGTCCCCCCCCTCCTTTGATATATTGATTGATGAATAGAGAGAGATGGGTTGAAAGGGGACGGTCTCTCTAATGGTTGCTGAGGAAAACACACGTTGACAAGCAGATTAGAATACAGACAGCTCTGTTGAAATGCAATACATTGACAAGATAAGATGTGAGGGATTGTTCAGGCCATCTTGACATCTTTACATTTTATTATGCGCTACCATATTCTCATGCCTGCCTTTTTTAATGATGTGTCATCCCATAGTTTAACTGAAGTGTTTTTAAATAATAATGCAACTACAGCTCTGGTTTATAGATATATCTTTTCTACAAACTACTGACATGTTCCTTTACCAATTCACCAAATTAATTTAGATCACGCTAAGTATAAAGATGTTCCATAAGTTAAAACATTTATATTGGGTTTAAAAATGAAAATGAGCTTGTTCTTTTGCCTTATTTGAGGTTTGAAAACACTGCGTCTTTTTTTGGTTATTTCGCTCAGTTGTGATTTGCCGCCAATGATTGCTCTAAATAAATGAACTACTTTGAATTTGGAAGACATGTTGTCGGCATTAAATAAAGCCAAACGTTTATTATAATCAATAACACACATGTAAATGGCAAAACCAGAGAAATTGAACATTTCCACAGTAGTCTCTTCATTTCTCCCAGAGCTTGAGAATACACATTTGATTGAATACATGTGTGCAATGTTTGCACTCTGGTATAAGACGCTTTGCAAATGTTCCTGTCCAAGCTTTACGTATTAGAGAGAGTAAAAATGGGCTCTTCTTCATTTTCACTGTCAGAAATGTGTTTGTCTTGTTGCATACATGCAGTGACCATGCAGACAATGTAGCCCTATACAGCTCAAGTGGAATTTTAATTGGCACTATTTAGAGGTTGTATTCATGAATAGATCCAGGCCTTTAGAGTATCTTATGTTGTATAAATTGGACTTCCACTTGCCAAATAATAAGGTCAGTTAAATGACAGCAAGAGCGGAATGAAAACAGATTTTTCCTATTTATTTTTTCAATGTAATAATTACTGATCAGTCATTATACAAGCCCTGACAACCCTGGGGTGGCCCTGACCCCCAAGAGGCCCCTGCATTTCCCGGCTCTTCATGCTAAGGTCAAGCTCTTCAACAGTTGAGGTCACTCAGGGGACACAGGGGCATTTACTGGGCTTCTAGCTATGTGCCCTCCAGTCTTTTTACTGTAGTTGCGGCAGCCTGAATGTCCGGCACTCTTATCACCATACACTTTCATTCGGTTTGTTTCCCTGCCAAAGGCCAAATATGTTTTTCCCGGACGCTAGTCATCATCCTAATTGATCAAATGCATTTTCCTGATGGCTAATACCTTTAATTGTATAGCACTATTGCAGGCCGTTGGCGGGTGTTATTATGTAATGTTATTAAGATGTGATAGGAAGTGATAAGGGTTGGAGGAGGAGGGGGATTCTGCTCTGAGCTCTAAATGAAAGCTGTGTGGGTCAGAGGGCAGAGGGGAGGGATGTTGGATGTTCACTTTACAGCTCGTATGAAAAGGTCAGGCATCGTGTCATCCTCACAGCGGATCAGAAGACCCTCCTCATCTCTTAGGTCAGAACACAGTGTAGGGGTTTCACTGAGCTGTCTAATAATAGTCAATGGCTATTCTGATTATTTAAACACACATAATATGGAAATGTCATTTTTTTTTAAAAGTGGTTTTTCTTTGGAAAATCCATAATTTTCCTACTACATTTAACAAACTATTATAATCCCATTTTGAAGTGAAAAATAAAGGAGATTAACCGCATTATAACAAAGGCTACTGATCTACTGATACTGAATGGCACCTTTACTTTCCTCTTAAATGCATTTATATGTACCGTAATCTTCCTATATAATGTGTGTGTTTATCTGACTTTTTTTATTTTTAAATGTTTAGACCATTAAGTAGTTAGGGTTAGTTATTTCGTTTTCAGGGTTTTTGGTTAGTGTGGGGTATGTTTTTGGGTTGTAATGTTTCTGTATAATACACGAACTCTCAATTTTAGATGTATTAATATGTAATGTAAACACTGTTTATTGTCTGGGCCCCAATTCTCAAGCTTCATAAAGCTGATTGGCGTGTCCCATTTCACATGTCTCCATTATGTCGTATGATTGTTCATACAATTAAATGAAATATGAAATCATATTTTTTTAAAAAAAACATTTGACATGGAAAAGTACAAACAAAGTTTAAGCATCCTACCTGACGAACATGATAATCCCAACTTTGGCTATATCGTCCCGGATAACTTTCCAGGACTCTTTGATCATCTGAATCTGAGGCTCGCTGGGAGTCGCAGCAGCATCCTCTGTGGTCCTCTCTCCAAACTCTCCTTTAGCTTCCAGACCCGATATTGCGCAGCCCATACTTCATACAAAATTTACGTTTAATGATTTTGTGCCAACCAGTAACGAAAAATCTAAAGTTAATTGATTTTGTGCAAGAGGAAGTCTGATAATGATGGCACCGCGGGTTTATACGCGCAACTCAAGACGCTTGTTGAACTACACGCCTCTTGTCGGTATCACGGATGAGTGTCAAGTCAGTAAACAGACAGAGAAAGTGCACGTTCTGCTGAATAGTGCCAAAATAAAACACCCGTTAATGGGAACACATTGCTGTGAGTGCTGAGCAGTACTTGTGCTTTTATTTTGAAGGATGGCGGTGATGACTTCCGGTGAGAGTCCGTCTGTTAATGGCGGGCTTGACGCAACTGTTGAACGCACAGATAATTCAACAGAGCCTGTTCCTCCATAACCTGAGGCACAAAGGCTGGGCTGTGTGCAGTCATTATATATTAATATATAAAAATCACATAAAATAAATTAATAAAGACATACACTGTACACACATCACATGTGCCCACTTTATCGTACTACCAGCGTTAAACCTGTCGTTTTAATAAGTAATTGACCATTTTAGCCCATGTCTTTTACATTGCATTGACATCACCTCTTCATTTGTAGGTCCCATAGAGTTAGATTATAATGATTAAAGTAAGGGACATCAAGTTAAAAATCATATTTAAAAGCAGATAAAAACAATGTTACTTTTTATTAGGACCCAGAGACTCCAAGCATTGATTAAATAAATATTTTTTTGTCACAAATGCAAGATTTACTCCTGAGAGCACGTTTTTTTTAAACCTTGAAGTCAGTTCAGTTTAGTTTTGCGGCTTGAGATGTAATTCAGAATACAAAATCATGTCAATAAAACACATTACTTCCACTTGTTACTAACACAGTACAATGGTCTTGACTCTCTTTGAATCCTGCATTAAAAAAAGTAGTGCTGTCTGAGTCTGAATATGAAAGCACTCTTCATTTCTTTTAACCAGTGGACCACGGATGTTGTAGATTTAACAAGGCTCTGCAATGGTTTCAAATGCATGACAGAGTAAAAGGAGACATTTGTGGACACTTACCATTTCTGTTTTTATTGAAAATATGGGAAACTTCAAGTATGAAACAATATATTTTCTGGAATGGAAAAGTAAAAAGGGTTGCTACGGGTCAGTATTTACATAAGGCTAATCTCTCAAAAATGTACAGTCTCATAAATAATATTAAAGAGGAAATATACAACTTATTGAGAAAAATAAAAGCTCCAGTGATACATTAAGTGAGAAGGAGTTAAGAAGCAGCTTCAGTTAACGTAGAAGCAAGTTACTGCTGTGACATGCATTAAAGTGAAATGTAAAAAAAAAAAAACCTCTTTGGTTTTGCGCTCAAACCTTTTTGCTTCCCCTCAAACTCCAGCTGGCAGTCGACATCTTAAATGAAAATAGTGCTATGGTGCTTATAGCAACAATCACCAACAGTGGGAGGAAACCAAATAAATGCATATCATAAGAATAAAGTAGAACCTAATCTTCAATTTGATACTAGGGACTATATACACATTTTACATAAACTTGTGTTGTACAGTGCAAACAAATACCCAATGTACAAATATTGCAATACTCCTTTTTAAAGACAATTTGCATGCAACTTATTGGCCTCACCAAAGACCAATTATATCCCTTTGAGTTTCACTGGTGCAAACATCATCACCATGACCTATAGTGAGACCTATAGTGAAAACAATGTGCAGACAAGTTGCATTCTTTTGGGGGTAAAAAAAGAAACAGGGATGTTGACAAGCAAGTGTCAGACAGATAATGTTTTCACATGATAGTCCCTGATAATAAAAATGTTCATAAATCGTATCTCATGAGCTGGTGGTCAAGCTCTGGAACCTCTCTCGTAAGCTTTTCACCAGATTACTTTCTGTAATTTTCCCTGAACCCGGCGCAGCAGACTTATTGGTACAGTCCAGCTCCTCGTGGAGAACGCTGTCCCCATCTTTGTCTGTTTCTCTTTTTGTCAGAGACACCTGACTGACTGACAGGCAGGTCCTCACAGGGTCCTTAAGGTTCTGTACTTCATTGAGTGGAAGAGACCCTAACATGTGGTCTAAGGAGCTCCACCTGCACAGCAGGGGCTGGGCCCAATCCTCCACAGCACAACTTTCTTTGTTCCCCGATTCAGACCGTGGGGTGGGGGAGTCAGTCAGAGCGCTGTGGAGGTCAGAGGAGCTGCTGTACTTGTGTGAGCAGCCATTGCACCGCTCTGTGCTGCACTCCAGCAGCCCGTTTGGGGCCGTGCAGCTACGGGTTACTTTCGAGGAGTGGGAGGGGTCTGTGTATTTGGTCCGCAGCTCCTGTACGTGAGGCCAATGGAAGGCCTCGGTCTCCGGGGGCGGGCTCTGTGGGCTGGCTGCAGAGCTGGGGGTCTTCTCCGGACTTGGAGAACGCTCCTCATGGATGACCGCTTGATCGCAAATGTTCAAGGGCAATCTCAGGTTGGGGTTACCTGCACAAAAAACAGACACAAAACGCTGTTCAGTTTTCTACATGAGCTAAAGAAGTAGGTCACTGCAAAAGAGAGCAACATGGCAATCATTTGCATCTAATTTACCCTTTTTCCTCAATTGCACTTTCTCTTCTTGAACTGCAGGCAAACTCTTGAAGGCTTGTTGGCTCGCTTTTTCTCGGTTCCTCTGCCAGACCAATGGTCTGTTGTTTTTGATGCGCTGACTGTACTGACGTGCGAGCTGGAACACCTTGTTTTTCATCTTCCCCATGTCCTGCAGGATCTGGTCCTCGTCCAGACTTGCCCGTAAGCTTGTGATCCTGGGTAGTTGGGCCTGGTCGGCATGGCTCTTGTCTTGAGACGTAGAGTCCTGACTGGATCCACCCTCCAGGGCTGGAAAGGTTGTTGTAGGAGATGAGATGGGGGAGAGATCTGAGGCGGAGCTTATTTCAGACTCTTCTAAAATCAGAGATGGTTGCCTATTGGTTTTAGCGTCTGAAAGGTCTGCGCTGGCATCCTGCGTCACATCTAAGCTCGAGTCGTTAAGCGTCTCCTCTGCACTCTGCAGGACGTGCTCGTTCTCCTCCGCCATCTCCATTTCTTGCCAAACCTTGTGCATTTCTGATGAAGGTCGGAACTCTTCTTCTGTGCTGGTTGAGGCCTCAGAAATGCTCTGAGACCTAGCCTTGGCTCCCACTGCCCTCTGTGGTTCAGTCTTTTGAGGAGTGCCAGCGCTCCGATTCTTTTCCAAGCCAGGAAGGTCAAACACTGACCAGGAAGTGGGCCGGTTGCGAGAGAGGCCTTTCCTGCTGACCGGGGTACCTTCTTCCTGAGGAACACTGTTGAGCTGTCGGCTCAGATGCTGGACCAGACCTGCTGGTATGTAGGAGAGGCTCTCTCTGCGCTTGATGCTGAAGTTAGCGTCTTGGTGCTCGGCGTGCTCGTAGTATTTTCTGATCTTGCAGATGAGGAGGCGGTCTTGTTTGGAGAGAGTGGACCCGAGTTCCCCTTCAATCAGAGTGTGCAGTTCAGGATCGTTTGTAGGCGTTGACAGATCAGCCTCTGAGGTCACCTGATGCTCTGGAGACGACTGAGCCAACATCCGGGCGTGTTGCTCTAAGTCCATGCAAGCTGAGGGGCTTTTTAAGACTTCATTTTCTACTGAGGGCGAGGGGCAGGCGAGGGACCCCAAGTCCTCTGAGACCAGGCTGCTCCTCCTGGACAGGCTGCTGCTGAAGCGCTCTGCTATCACGCTGGCCTGGTCCAACACAGAGGAAGGTAGGATGCTTTTATCGTCTGAGAGACCCTCCTCTTCCTCCTCTGAAAGCTCCCCGTTCGTCAGTACGCTCGCTTCATCCACTTGGAGAACGGAGGAGTCACTCTCTCCTTCTTCTTCTTCTTCCACAGTTTCTCTCGAGGTATCCTGAGGTTCTTGGGTGTCGTCATCTTGTTGGAGAGGGGAGACGGGGGATTCTGGGCGCTGGGGGTGATGCACCTCTTGATGATCACTCTTCTTCACTTGAGGGACACGATATGGAGGGCACAGCTCCTCCACATTGGCCTGAAACATGATAGGAGTGTTTACAATGGGTGAATGAGACATTATGTTGGCCATTAATGGACCGAGGCAATTCAATCTAAAGCATCCACAATTTATGATGCGTGTCTTTTATCTTTTGAGTCCAACTTGAGCTTAATAACAATGTTTTTATGTACAATATGAAAGTGTGGCTAGAAATTAAGGTGACACTGGGAATGTATTTACGGCTTGGGTAGTAATGACCTTTTTTTGGACCATTTCTGTTTCCTGTTGCGAGTTTAGTGGGGAATATTTCTGTGTCTGCGGCTTTAACCGTGTTTATATTGCTGATGTCGCCTCAGTCGGCCATTTATCTAAATGAGTTTGCAGGTGTTGTGTTCCTCTTTTGGAGTGTGGGCAATTGCAAGAAAGTGCAGCTTGGAGCTGTGTGGTGGAGATAAGGTTAGGAAGAGTAATGAGGAACACTTTTCTCAGACACAGGGGCTGTTCAGCAAAGTTATCTTGAAAATCAGGCGGTAACGGCTCCAAACTATAAGGTTGCCTTTCTCAGAGGGAGTTCTGATCACAGAATATCAATGTGTGTGTGGCATTTTAATTTAGCAGACTTCAAGTAAACATCAGCACTAATATAGCTCCAGGAAAGTTTTCAAATAGGCCTGAGAGAAATGCCCTATTGGAAATGATAAGGTAGGAAACCTATTGAAATGTCTAGTGCATTATCACATAAACTGTATAACAACAGCAAATTGACCAAAAGTGTGTCAATTTAAAATATGCAATGGCTTACAAACAAGCTTAACAACACTTTAGGCGATACTGAGGACATGAGGATAGACAGGACAACTGTGAATAAATGTCACACGTGGCCTGAGAGACACCTGTGGAAATGAATGGCTTTACAAATCTATAAATGATTTGTTAAGTACCTGTGTGGCAGGAGTTTCTTTGGCAGCCACATCCACATGTTGTTCCTCCTGGCTGTGAGTTTCTACCTCCTCTGTCCGTGTAGTTTTCAGTTCAGCCGTATCTTTATTCTGATCATCCTGAAGAGCAAAATACA